GCAGTACAGTAGGCCCAATTAAAAACCAAGTATGCTAAACCCAGTACCATTTGAAAAATGACAATGTTCAGCCAGTGGAGTATAATGGAGTGGCCTAATTCTGACAACTGAGGACTTTGAGCCACTCTTTGATTAGCTGTGGGGTCTTGTTTGTCAAAACTCTTTGCATTAAACAGCCTTTTCTGTAACCTGAGATGTTACTGCAGTAAGGTCAGCATGGCTATTTAAAAATAATTTCTACACCATAATTGCCCTGAGTTAACCATTTCTAAGCATTGAAACCTTACATACATGAAATATTGCCCATTTATTTTTTCTTAAGTAAACATTAATAAATAAACGTTTTTGACTATGTAAAAACAAATCAGGTCTTTTTACAATAATAATAAAAAAAAAACCAAACAACAAAACCAAACCAGACACGATTTACAGCAGTGTTCCAGGGCACTGCAACCTTCGGAGCAACTTGATGAATGGTATCTTTTATTTTTGACTGGTACAGCTATGTTTTTCTCTAGATAAGAGGACATTTTCCCATACCACAGGATAGTTCATTCCGCTTTTCTCCTGCCTCAAGTCTAAAGATACATGGTGTTAGAAGTCAAGAAAATGAAAAGCGTGCATAACAGTATATCTTGAAGACATGCCTGTATATTTGAGAATTCTTCAAGCAGATGGTTAAAACCACCAATTTTGGCACTGGAACACAACACAATTTAGGCCTTCAGTGTTATGATGATGTTGCAATCAATGATTTAGCTGTATAACCCAACACACATACTGCACTGTACGCGCATGGCTTGACTACACGTTTGCGTGCGTAACCCCTTAGACAATATCGGCTGTATTTACTGGAGTTGTTGAGGTGTTAGCTGTCAGAATGCACTGAGTGTATTTTCTTCTTAATTGCTCTATTGGAAGTATGTGCCCACAGAGTCCACACGTTAAAACATGATCTCCACAAACTGTTCACAAGCTATTTAACTGAAGATGAATTGCCAGCTACTTGTTAATGAGCATCCAAACTTTTGTTTAATATCCAAGTTTGATGCTCAAAGTGTATTTTCTTATTACTGACATTTAATGTAACGACTCTTCACTAAAAAAATGTTCTTAGAAAGATGCTTTTAAGAAGTCAGACTGTCCAGACTGCACACTGAATGGTTTTTGCATATCTGAAGGCCCTGATGAAGTTATGATGATGATGGAAATTCTTCCTGGCCACGACTTTTAAGAAACCACAAAACCCTCATTGTCTTAAAGAAAACAAAAGCTGTTTTGAGTCATGAACAGTGCATTTAATCAAGTGGAGAGGGAAGCAGTGCAGGGAGTGTTGAGGCACCCCAGCTCCAAGGAAAAAAAAAACAAACCAAACCTGGAATTCAAGTGTGGGGACAGACAAAAGAAGAGCGAGAAATGGCAAGACACAGAGAGGTAGAGGAGAAATGCAATTCCCAGGAAAAGAGCAGAGAGGAAAAGGTGTTGGCAATAGAGAAGGTTTCCCAACAAAGCAGAAATATATTACAAGGACAGAGAGGTATTAGAGGAAAAAGGAAGGACACTTCCAGTGCTCTCCCTCATCACCTCTCTTGCAGCTCCTGCGTCCCACAGAGGGAACAGAGCCGGTGTAAGGGTGCAGTGCAGATGGGTATCTCCTCCTGAAGCAAAGCTCCCTCCAACCCAGGCCACTTTAGGGTTGCAGTCAAGCCTAGCAGGCTGGCGGTGGAGGAGCTGACACCGGGGTGGTTGGCAGGAGGAGATCATAGAAAGATACCAGCCTTGGAGCCCCACACATTTTCAAGAGGAAGACGAACAGTGGAGGAAATCCAGTCAACCAGAAACACTGTCCAGTCAATCGAACAAGTGCCGAGGTTTGCTGTAGCCTCCTCAGTAAATCCAGTTCTTCCTTTTGGCATCACTTCAGCTTGCTTTCATGTGCTATTTTGTGTGCCAACACACACAATAGGCTTGCCCTCGGGGAGTCCCGAAGTAGGGATGCTCTTGACCCTGTCCTCACAAGTGCCTTAAGACTACTGCTTAGAGACACTGCTTAAATTATTTCTCCCTCTTACAGTATCAGACTATCTCACCATTGCTATGAACCTGTTCTCCTCTCAAACCTGTGATACACAGCCACATTAATAGGTCCTCCCTCTCCTGTAAACAAAGCAAAATCTCCAAACAGGAAATTAAATACAGGATTGAGTATGACTGCCCAAAGGAACAAAGGAAATTTCTTCCAAACTCAGAAACTGGATACAAGTATCCCAAGCTTGTAAGTACTGCTTTACCCCAATAAACTGTCACTTCTTTAGAGATGACTGTCAGCAAACTTTTTAAGTAGGTGGATCTAAAGAAACTGAACTTGAACATCACAGACAAATCACAAGATGCAGCAAACAGGGTACCAAGCCTCAGGTGAGGACACGTGTATCTGTTTTTTTATCCTCCCATGCCTGCTACGTAAAGGTAACCTCTCTGGGCCAGCCACCCTGCCAGCACACCGTCCCCGTCACCACTGGGAAACCAAGTCCCTCCAGGGAAGGACATGTCCCTCACTCACTAGCACCAGCTCATCGCTGATCTGGACAGGTTTCAAGAAATTCTCTAAAAGCTAATAACGAGGGAAGGCTGGCTGTGTCACCACAGCCAGGACCAAACGCTGCTTCCATCATAAATCATGGATGCAATCTTTTTTGTTTGTAAAACGAGCAATATATCTCCAGCAAAACTACAGCCCTCCTGGAGCATCTGTACGAACACCAAACACTGAATTCCCTTTTTAAGAAGGCAGAAATAAATCCCACATGGCATGACATCAGGAAGGTAAAAACATGAAATGTGACTGTGAAATTAGTGTAGGTTAACTTGTGACCACAAAAACTAACACAGATCACTTACAAGGCTTTGAATGTTCCTGGTGTCAGTTCTTGGCACAGCCAAGACAGTTTTTCTGCCTTTAATTTCATACTACAACGTATCTGGAATTTCAAGCTCCCAATTTCCTCAGCTCACAGAAATGGCTTCTGAGAAGATTTCTACATTCTGAGAACAGATTTTTACCCTTAAATTAGCCATGTGTACTCTCAGCCTTAACATTTTTGTCTTGAAATAAAGCAGCAGCAATAACTGTTAATTTAAGACCCCACACGATGCGAATTTATGTTCTGGAGCCAAATACGGTGATTGCAAACAGATGAACATGAAACGCCTTCTACTGAGCGGAATTAAAACTAAATATTAGTGAAGTGTGTTGCTGATTTGATACGTGATGCATCAGACATTGATTACTGATTTTTTCTTTGCTACAGTGAAATACCAGAAGCGCCCTACTAGTCTTTCAAGAATTGTACAACCACTGGTACAAAGTGCCACATGTACAGCTTCTGTTCCCTTCTGCCCTCAGGAGTCTCAGCTGGTTTCCTTGTACTCACCAAGGATGAAGCTACTCAATATATGACATTCTGTTATTCCTGACACTGGATTTCCCTCTTTTGTTTAGGAGCTTTAATGATGAATAAAAGATTGTAAACCTTAATGCTCGCCTCCTGCTAAGACCTTGAAATCAGGGTCAGGGTGTTGTGGGTGGACTCAGAGATGTTTAACCTTCCTTCTGGGAAAAAGGATGGGAAAAAGCCTGGAACTACTGGACTATTTCCAAAAAGGATTCTGCCACGTTGGCACATACATTGCTGCGTGACTGAGGCCAGCAAGAGCAAGCCCCAATCTTTCTTAACCAGTACTGAAGTATGTATTTGCAACTAATGAATCTGGCAACCCAATCGATTAGTAAAAGTCAAGGAAGAGAAATTCATTACCAGAACACACCTCCCAGGACAGCAGAAGAGGGCATGGTAAAATCCTTCTGGAATTGCCCTCCTTTTATCAAACCGTGGGAAAAAAATGTGCATTTTAATTCAAAAAGGTACCTGTAAAAGCACAATGCCAAACTCCTGTCCACGCTCTGAATGGGGAAACGTAATGCTCCAGGGGATTATGAAAAAAAGAAGAAAACAAACTATGAAAGAAGGCATTAAAAAAAAAACCCAAAACAACAGAGCAGTAATACAGCAGGCGCGTACACATCAGTGCTGCTGTGATGCTGGAGGTGGTGGAAACCAACCACCGAGGCTGGTCCATGCTATGGGAAGGGAGGGAAAGAAATGCAAGGCAGCCAGAAGAGCAACCAGGACTACTTCACATGAGAGACGATGAAATCAACATGGCTGCACACTGGAAAAGCTATGAGCTCTGGAATAATAACAGCTAATTAAAAAGTCATTTGGGAAGCCTCAGAACACAAGCTCACATATGCCATGGTACCCGAGGTGCAAGACAAGATGCAGCCACACTGTGGTTCAGTGTATAAATGCAAGCAGGGCCAAATTTCAAACTGAAGTTTTTAATTCCCTGATGAAGGGCAACATAAAATTGTGCATTTTGAGTTCTTGTTATAGATAAACAATCCCTTTTGTTTTGGTTTTGGCTACTTCCAGATGAAGAAGAGAAAAAATATTGTAAACACTGCCCCTGCCCCCATTTCCATAACACGGCTTTAGCAGGGCGTGAGATCAGTGTTAGCTACTTTGCGAGTAACTGAGGAAATATATCGACATGGAAATGTTAATGTTACTTCAGGGCAGCTGCCAGCTGGTTTTGACATGAATATATGGAATCTACAGTGATGATCTGCTTTTAAGTGGCCTCCCATATTCAGAGTTAAGGTCAAAGAGCAAAAAGTTTGTGCGCTTAACCCACATCCCACACCCAGCTCGCTGCTGGGAACTAGAGAGAGCTGACAGGGTATTTTCCAAAGTAATAACACCACGACAAAAAACTACTACTGAATTTTTATACGTCTGTTAGGAATTAGTTATTTAGTTTTCAACACCTATTTGAGGTGATTATTCATGGAAAAACTATAATGTTCAACTAGTGGCACAAAATTACTAACAAAGTATTAATTTCTTTTTTTTTTTTTTATTAGCCTCTTCCCCTTTTCTAAAGCACTTATTTTAGATGGTGCCTTTTTAAACTACGGCAGTAGTGCATTTACAAAACACTGCTCGTGCCTAGCAAATCAATACCTGTTTCATTTCATGTTCAATATTTTCTCTTTTTTCCCTCCAAAATTATAAGCACCTTTTTGGGGATTTAAATCAGTTATTAAAATCTGCGCAGAAAAAAATCCAAACCTTTGTATTTTGTGGCACCTGCTAAAAATATTTGTAAATATCTTCACAATACAATAAGCCATCAGAAAAGAACGTAATTTAAAAATTTGGAGATTATATTCCTGTAACTAGGTATTTGTATACACAATAGTTAAGGGAAAAATAAATCGATGTATTCATTTGGGAGGAAAATGGCTCTCCTGCAGGATGCAGCCTTCCTTTGCACATTTTTCCGTGCAGGAGGGCACTGATGCAGTAAGGGGAGGAGCAGTGTCCCTAACCCTGCCATGAGGCTGGTGACACCCAGCTGAAGAGTAGAAATGCCGAGCTGAGGAAGACTCTCCAGCACAATGGTTTTTTAAGAGAACTCCAAACCGCAGGAACCATGTAAGGGCACGCGCCAAAAAGTTTCCTTCTTCCCATATCAATATGTATACACCTTTATTTTTTTATTGATACGAGTATATAGACATAAAACCTGACATATGTATGGTTTACTCCAATACCGGTAATTCAAATGGACTTGAAAAATAGTCATGAGGTAGTAGCTATACACGAAAATAAATACCTTCAAAATTTTGGCAAGACTAGAAAGTTTCTATCATTTCCTCAAAATATATAATGCTTATTTTAGATCGTTATTCTAACAGCAACAGGGATCAACACATTTATGATGTGGCTGTCAGTGTGAACTATATAGTGGAATATGTCCTTGTTTAGTGAACAGCAGCTTATACTATTTTAAAAATGTGTAGCCTACTGCCTCTTCTAAGTGCTAGAAAGAGGTCGTGGTAATTAAAAGTGCAAGCATTAATTCTGGAGTAGCTCTCGTACAGCGGGTTGCCATAATCCTCTGGTTCCACAATAAGCATACTGCTCCAGGTCTCAAGGGTTTCTCAAGAGGGTACGCATTAAACTGGGAAATCACTAGGAAGGGACACACCACAGGCTTCACTGAGCTTGGATCTGGACCCCGGACAGCATGGACTGAGGGAGATATACAAACAAACCCCAAGCAGATTAGTGTTCTGCAAAGCTTTTAAGCACCTGGCTGGTTTCAACGTTCATGCTATGAAACAAAAAACCAACAACTCCATTTAGCATCCCCAAAAGGAGCATGCAGTGACAAAACTGTTAATGAATAAGGCTGATGATAGAGTAATACGGAGTCAGACCAAGTGCTATGTAAGTTCTTCAACACAGCAGCACAATATTCCCCAGCCTACACATCTCACACATAGATGAGACCAACCATGAAGCACCACTGCAGGCAACCATCTGTGAGGGCGCGGGTGCCTCCACCAACTGGAGAGCAAATCCTCCGGCAGGCGGCACTGGATTTTGTAGGTGCAGGATGAACAGCCCAAAGGCAGTTCATCGAAACAAATGTATGATTCTCATACATTAATTGCACTGTTTTAAGTGGATGAACTGTTCTGGTAACAGATCTCCCCTAGCACTTTATCAGTCCAGCACAGTGCCCTTCAGTGACACATTTCAAACTTCCTAATCAACACAACACCCTTAAGACAGTTGAGCGGGACCAGGTACACTACAGTGAGCATAAACATGGAACTGCAAGAAAAAGTAGAGAAAATGTAGCATATACACTAAATCTCAGTAGAAAACATGAGCGAGGACTTGGGACAGCCAAAGACACCAAATCCTCCTTTCCCAATTAATTATACTGGTTTAGTAGAAGAGGTGTCACATGAATATTTCTCAAGTTCTAATTGCTCACACAGGTATAATTCTAATGTCTTTAGAAAACCTCATCCCTTCTGCATCCACTACGCCACATCCCCGTCACAAACTTTCCGTTCGCCCACCTATCTACCCGTTCAGCTCAGCCCCAATGCAGAGCAACCCAGAAAAGCCATTACCAAATAATGTGCCCTTGTCTTCTCTACAAGGCAGAAGGAAGGCAATAAATGGCACAAGACAAAGGCTTGTCCCACGCCTTCTGGGGAATTTGTAGTACAATATGTGGCTTCCTTGGCTTGGAAGAGCCCACATACTTGTGACTAAACCACTACCAAATGCCTGGCCTCCAAGAATGCAACAAACTTATAGGCAACAGTCAACAACATATAGTTGAATCTCTGATGCTTTTTAATTCTTTCTTGGATTTCTTCCTGGACCTGGAGGTCCAGGATTTCATTTCTCTTGCAGATGCATGATTAAGATGAAAATAGAGCTAGGCACGTTGCCATACAGTTTTACACTGGACGCACAGTAGAGTTTGAAAACATTTGATAGCATGCGTGCCTACTGAGCCATACGTGAGCTCAGTGCTTCTTTCTGGCAATGCAGAGACCTGCTCCCTGCAGGCAGGGTACAGCAGGGTACCCCCATCACCATGGGTGCACTGTCAGCTGTGCAGAGTTACCACTCCATTTATTTCTCATTGACATTCTTCCTAGATTTTCCCCCCCTTTAAGTAACTTAACAAGGCCAGTGCTAGCAGATTTGTATCACCTCAATGGGAAAGACTGGTCTCCACAATGCTTTCTTTTAGGAACAGTAAGTGGACCCACAGTACTTCTCTTAAAAATCAACAATAGATATGCTGATATAGTGCCAAAGACATGGCAGCTGAAATCTTTGCAAAGAAGTGATCAGTCACTGGCTCTTACTGGACAGGTGCATGGGATATAGCTGAATTCTGGCCTTAATGCAAATCATTAAAGCAGCTGCCCTTATATTCCCAATTCTCTTATAAAAAATAAAAAATAAAAAAATTAAAAAGAGAGAAAAAGGGAAGAGAAATAAAGAAGAAAAAATACTTTAAAACATCTCCGATCTAAAACAGCACAAGGAAGGCTGATGTTGGACTTCCCAAACCCACAAAAGTCCATGAAACTGAGCCACGAACACAAGCCAGTTTACCTCCTGGGCTTAAGCTGTAAGATTTAACCTCCTTTGTAATGGCAGAAAATGCCTCACACCTAGGCAGGAAGCACCAAAACCAACATAAGAAACTCTGGACTACAGTCAGAGTGTAAAAAATATTAATTTCTTCAATATTTTTCAAATCAACGAATTACACGGGTGTAAAATATGACATTATCCTCTGAACGGACGCTTCTCTACCGTTTTTTTCTCTATAAAAGCACACAGCCTCATTCAAATTTCTCTCCAAAAAATGCCTAGAAAAAACCACTCCACAATGGCTGGGCAGCTGGCATACCGCAATAGCTCGTTATCCTGATTTCAACAGTCTCTCTCATCTGCTGGTGAAATCAAGGTCAAGCGAAAAACATTACCAACTGCTATAAGGAGACCTGGGGATCTCAAAATTAATTTTGTTGCTAAATAAATTCCAAACTTTTCTACCATTTTCAGATTATTTTTTTTTTTTAATCATCTGGCAAGCAAAAGGATATGCAAACTGTTCAGGAAGGAGTGATGCTCCTTTTCAAGACTGACTGACTTGAGGAAATCCACACCCAGGCTGGGTGCTGGCAGGACCGAAGCTCTCCTTCCATCTGTAGTGCCAGGACATTCTAATAACACACCACGTTTAGAAGACTCATTAAATAACATGTATCTTCATAATGGGGTTGAGGCCTTTAGAACTAAGCCTCACTGAAATGCAAGAGTAACATGAAAATAAGGATTTTCTTTTCTTTCTGGCTAGCATCCCTACTTCTTTCTGTGGGTCAGCCTTACCTCTAAGGGTACCTGATCCTTCTGAGGTCATGTACGTTTTCCATCAGTGGGGAAGGAAAACTCCACTTTGCCCCACCAGTGGTCCCTTTAGTTGTCTGTTTGTCAGTTCAGCATCCTTACAAAAAAAGCACTACTCTATGAGCAAAGGCA